GATGTTAACCAACGTTTCAGAGGTCATACTGCCTCCGTCATCAGGGCGATTCATCGATGTGAAAACCTCAAATCATACACAGTCCTTTTGTAATTTGTCCATCGTCTGAATTATAAAATCATAATATCACAACATTTCGAAAGCTGATTCTGCTTCCTTCATCAGGTAAAGAAGGGGACAAAAAACATATCGGACCAACTGCTTTAGCTAGCCTCAGACCCCCTCAATCAGGGAGCCCCACAGATACGGTTTATTTCCTCTTCCTGGAAGATGAACGCAGAATATAGTCTCCGAAACGTCGTAGTTTTATAATTTTATGAATTAGACGAAGAGCAAATCCGAAAGAATAATTTTGTATGTTATAACGCACAGTCGACAAGGAGAAATGACCTGAGTTATTTGTAGTGTCTTTAAATAAACCATATAACAAGTAGAATAATTAAATATTCATTCGTTTTAGCCTGTTGCTACTGAATTAGAAAGTCCTTGAAGTCATATCTTTCCTGGGCCACTTCAAATACGTTCATATAATCACGTAATTCCACAATTCGCCTTTTAGTTGTATCATTCTGCTTCCTAAATGATCACATTCTGTGAAGTTTTCTACCAACCTTTCTATCTTCGACGTATATAATTCTTCGAATAATTTTTCTTCGAATTTTGGTAATTATTACTTTACTTGTAAAATGCGTGATTTAGTCGCAAAATTTAGCCAATCACATTGGCCACGTGGTCTGCGGGCATGGGGTTTGATCACTCGGACACTGGTTCGAATCCCGCTTAAGGCATTGGTGTTTACGTTTGTATTTGTGTGTTTTGCTGTCCACGGGCTTCTTAGAAGTTCTACCAAATGTTTTGAAGAGATTAAGAACCATGTCATATGTGAGGAGGTCGAAAGTCGGTCAAGTTAAGATCCATGCAGAGTAGATTTACGAAAATATTCGGTTCGAATCTAGACAATGGGTTGAAATGTGAGAAATCGGTATCTTAGGTGTTTGGAATATTTATGAGCGTTAACAAACATGGCCGAATGCCATAAAGTAGAATGACCATAACACGTCGCGCTGACCGCAAGCCAGCCATTAAGACGCTCATACTTTATGAAACCCTCTACTGAATTCCGTAAATAACAGAGCATAGACTTCATGGTCGCCTGTAGGCTTATTGGTCCAATAAAATTGTTCAGCAATAAAATTGTGGCCGGATCATTCGATTACTTGTAATCGAATTTGTAAGTACAAGATGGCGGAGCGAGCAGGTAATGCAAGTGAGATGAATGATCAGAAAACAAGGAGATACAGTTGAAAGAAACAAAGATAAAAGAGGAAGACATGACAACGAAGGAATTGAGAGAAAAGAATTGTAAAACAAGTTTAAAGACTGAAATCAAATGAGGATGAGGGCTGCAAATGAAAAACGGAAAGAAACAGATGAAGGTTAGAAAAATATTGACAAGAAAAGTACTAAAACAAATATTTATAAAAATGTGATTGAAAATGTGAAAGACAAAATAACGGGAATCAAATTAAAATACGCAAGAAACAATTAAGGAAAAATGAATAAAATAATAATAATTATGATAATAATAATGAAGCAACACCTAGTGACAGGAATTTATTAGGAAGCGGAGAATATCTTGAAATACAAGGACCTTCTCATTGAAATACAGAGAATATGGAAAGTGAAAGCGAAAATAATTCCAATAATTATAGGAGCAACTGAAACTGTCTCCAAGTCACTCAGAAAATATCTGGCCAGCATCTCGGGGGAACACGACATCAGGGTACTTCAGAAATCTGCCATTTTAGGATTTTCATACAGCATTCGAAAGACGCTGTCGTAAAACATGTAGTCATCTCTAACAGTAAAACTTTATAATACATGTAACACACATTAAAAACAAAATGTATTTCGGAAATAGCTGCTGCAGGATGTACCTTAGGGACAAGGTTCGTCTCGGGTATACAGAAGTAAATACCCTATAAACGGGTAAATGGATGGAATAATAATAATGATAATTATAATAACAACATCATGAACGAGGTAATGTCGTCGATAGAATAAAAGGCATGAATGGTAGGAGGAAATGAAGACACTGAGAGATAGAATAAGTAGGAGAAGAAGATTAATTATGGAACTGAAATGAAGACGGAGGGAATTGAGAAATTGGACAAGGTCGGAGTGTGGTGTGGATCCGAATATGCCTTAAGGATGATCCAGGAAGACAAAGAATTAGAACTGAATGGGACACGTCACTTTCTGCTCTTTACTGTTTACAATTTTATTTATTTGTTGTGTGGGTGTGAAACTCGGTCTCACACGTTAAGGGAATAACATAACTTTACGAATAAGGTCTCGAAAGAGAAGCGATAACTTTGGTTAGAAATTACGAAGGAAATGAGAATTTGGAATCCCTATGCATGGATGGTAAGATAATATGAAAAGGGTATGAAATGCATTCATGTGCCCCAGGAAAGGGACCAGTGGTGGCCGATTTTTAACACGCCAATATTTTTTTTTATTATTGGGAATGTCTTGAGCGTCCTATTAGCTTCTCAAGCAGATATTTGTTTTGCTGAGTTAGTTAGTTAGTTAGTTAGTTAGAGGAAAATAATAAGGGAAGAGAGGAAGATGAATATCGAGTATCAGGAATATAATGGAGAAAATTGTACTAATTATAAGAAGTTAAAAAAATTGAAGAAAGAGGGCGAAGAAGGAGAATAGTGAAGAAAGAAGTAAAAAGAAAACAGAGCTTAAGAAAAAGAATTAATGTTTTCAAGATTTTGAGTAGAATAGTTCTCAAAGTACGTATAATATTCAGCGCAGAAATTTACATTTTGAGTGCTGAATGCTTTTAAGTAATAAAATAAGAACAACCCGTTGAGTTAAAAGCTTCCAGACGGAGACGTGCAGTTTACTGTGGGTTTTATACAAATAATATAATCCAATTTGTCGAACCGCTCGTGAAGAGGAGAGAAGTAATATTATTGCATATGACAGTGCCAGCCTGTCAGACAAGTACAGACGGGTGTCAACTATAGTTTTACGTCTGCTATAGGCAACACGGCTTGCACTGTTGTCAGAGAAGTTGCTGCATGCTCACGGCGAACCACGTATTGGAACAGCAAAAAATCAATTCTTAAATATTTCTGTCTTCTGGGTTGTTGCGCTGTGTAGTATGGTAGATATTTATCAATGTTTCGGAGGTCATACTGCCTCCGTCATCAGGGTGATTCAACAATAATAATTTTTATGATATTTATTCATACATATCGAATGATCAAGCCTGTGGTAAGCTTTAGTGCAGTAAATACTGATAAGAAATATAAACATTTGTCGAATTTACCTGTAGTAAAACTGCGGGTACTGTAATAGTTTCATATAATCGTTTCTGTTCCTGGCTTTCTAACATCCGACATTGTAGGTTGCCATGGAAATGTTCTAAGAAGCCCTAATTTTATAAACACATTAGATAGTCCTGTCTTAGACCCGAATGGATCGATGAATTAATTTATTTACGAAATTTTCACGGCATCAGGAAAACCTTTATGAAGTTTTACCCAATTACGAGAAGAAATTACTACTTGTGAAGTTTTTTTTTTTGTTTTTACTTTCTGTAACTAGCATACTGATAGTTGCCCGCATTTATTTTGATGGGTAATAAACTCAGACACATCATTTCCAGCCCAACTTACGCTAAAACAGCAGAATAATGCTTAACCAATCGGGCAAAATTACTGATCTCCGCTCCTCTGTATAGACGTAATACAGAATGAATAATATAGAAGGCTATTCAAGTCCTTTCTTTGGGGACCTTGGATCCGTTATCAATAATACAGAATGAATAATATAGAAGGCTGTTCAAGGCCTTTCTTTGGGAGCCTTGGATCCGTTATCAGCTGTGACGTGTCGAATAATTGGCAGCACTGGCGAGACAAAACAACGCAACAATTTCTGATTTGCTAAGACCATCTTCGTTTCGTGAAGGTTAATTTGTCTGTCCTTGTGTCGTAGAAGTGTTGGCTGAAGATTAGATCTACACATGCGCGTTTCGGTCATACCGACCGAGACAGCTCTGAATCGTCTTCCATTTCTGTTCGCCTGCATTAATTTCACTTGTCTGTCCGGTGCAGATGGCAGCACAAGGGTGATTTACGTCGCGATGTTTGTCTGAATGTTCTTTAGAATAAGGAAGGCTCACATAGGCCTATAAAGTCCGTGTGATTGTTCTTAATATTTATAGCGTCTTTAATTGTGTGACTTTAATTCCACAGTTATATTTCCGACCGGCAAACTACTTTCTGGTATTTCGTGTTTGATGGTTGTCGTCACTGTTTATAGGAAAATGTCGGGATAATAAATGAATTGTAAATTAAACAAATTTAAGTTCAGGTACTACTATATTTTGTAACTTTAAAAACAATTATTTTTCTGGTGTAGTAAATGCATAACTAATGAAAGCAATATTCTTCTGACTACACAAAGTGTTATATGTAATATGATTCTGTATCTGAAATTAATTTATGTAATGATTAGTGTGTTATGGAAGCTAAGAAAGAATACGATTGAAACAAAAGTGTACTGAAAATTTTAATATACCTTTAGGGGCGCGTTGTTTGTGTTCCACAGAAACGGCAGCTGGTGTTTGCGTGTACGAGAAGGTTAAGTAAGTTCTTAACATTTATCGACCCCACTCCGACAGTGGCGATATGATCTCCCAGTGTCACGTCCCTCAGTTTAAGGTCCCACGTCATTGCATGGCTCATTTACTGCCACCTCTCGACAGGGATTGGTAAGCCTTGAATCTTTCATATGTGTCACTCAAGATCATTGTATCAATTTCTTAGCTTCCCCTCAACTGTTTCAACAAGGCGAACGTCCAGATGTAAGGGCTCTTCAGAACATGCTTGTTATATGTGCTTAATTTATAGAAATGTAAATGCTAAGCGCTGTGTTGATGTATAGCATTTAAAAAAATGAATAATTTAATTATACAAGTTCCTTGCTGTCTGTTACAGCCAAATGTTTTTTCTGTATTTGTATAAGCCGGAGATGAGTTACTGTATTTACAAAAAAAAAAAAAAAAACCTATTAGATCCAGTACTTAGCCAGTCGAATTCAATTCAGATCCTGAAATCATGTTTCTTATGATTAATTTTAGTAACGCGCACATATCTGCGCAAGTGTCTGCACTATATTATGGTTATGCATGTTCTTTCGAATAAAACTGTAATAATGCTCTTGTCAGTTTTCAGTTTCCATCTGTCTAATCTGTATTCATTTAAAAATGGCCACAGAACCTCTCGAAAACTGGGATTTTGTGTTCGAATCCCACAACAGACATGAATTCGTACCCGCGACATTCTCTGCTGTGCTATTTTGCGTAGATAGAGGCTTTGCCCGCAAGTGTGTTTATGTGTTCCGTACGCAGCGATTATATATTTTAGTTGTTCCGGAGACGCGTTTTCTTTGACGTAAGAACTGGATTTTTAAATGTTTGATATAAACTACGATTTCAAAGCGTCAACGTCTGGAAAATTACTGAAAATAATATTCTTCTTGAACATTTCTTTTTGGGCTCGAAACTTTATGGCGGTATTCTGTTGACTTATTTTATTTTCTGTCTTGAAATTGTGCACCCAGTTTTCGTCCCAGGTGACAATATGGCACAGTGTAGCCTTACGATCGTAACGGAACAATTATTGTTGGTAAACAACAGAACAAGATGGATATATATCCATCTTGTTCTGTTTTATTTCCTCAGTGACCATTCCAGTAACCATCTGGTAAGAAGATTTTAGTATCCTTCACTCGCTTACGTGAAACAGCAATCTTGTTTGTTACTGGCTACTGAGAAACGGAACGATGTTCCTTGATAATTGCATCAAAACGATTTCGGCTAACCTCATCGTTTGCTGTTCGTGGTCTCCCTCTATGCTCTTTGTCATTCGGTCTGGCACGTTTCCCAGTGCAGGCACCTGCAAACGTTGCAGCTGTCTTCCTCTCAAACACTTTGCATTACTCCATTCCAAACAGTGAAGCGTTTTATGTTGCTGAAAACTAAATCACTGCAGGCTGTTTGTTTTCAAGTACCTTAAATTAGGCATTCTACACTGTACAGTTGTTGAAAGACATAGTTAAATAAACTATAAATAAATAAGTACATTTATGCAAAGTGTGAGAAAGTCTAATTGAATGCGCTGTAGTAGCTAGATTCTTGCGTGCTGTCAGCGCTGGGCGAGCGGATGAGAGCGGAACTTACAGTGGTGACGTCAACATACAGTTTAAAAAACATTATATCTTCCATCACATCCACGCTTTCAAATTCGCGAGGTAGGAAGATTTAACTTCAAAATTAGTGGTAATAATGAAGGGGGGAGCCAGAAGGAAAATACAACACAGATATTAATAGTAAGGATCGAGAAATAGCTATCGATAACAGTGAATGTTTTTGAGACGGCTACCGAAGGACCAGTCCGCTCCGATGTTCACCTGACCGTGCCGAATCCAGTGCAGCCTGGGAAATAGGTAGCCCAGCTCGGAAGGCGTCTGGTGACTCCTATAGTTCACACGATTACTTTGATTAAACAAAAAAACTTCCCTTCTTAGCACGCCTTGGTATACTTATGAGCCAGTTAATTAATTAAAATTTGTCCATCTGTAATATTATGCTCTATACCAGTGGTATTCAACCTTTTTTGTTCGCGTACCCCCAGATATAATTTCTCTTCAACTTTGTGCCCCCCAAAGTTGTTGGTTTATAATTCAAGTTATACATAGTATATAATCTACGAACATCTAAAATAAATTAAATAAATTACATTACTGATTATTCAGTGTTTATCAGAAAATAATATATATATATTTTAAATTTTACGTAACTCCTAAGATGTCTTCGCGTACCCCCGGGGGTACGCGTACCCCAGGTTAAATACCACTGCTCTATACCACGGGTTCTCAGCCTTTTTAGCTGGCGTGCCACTAATTATAATTCTTAGGGAAAACGTATTTATGTTAATATTATCTTTTCATTTTCTTACTTAGCTCGCGTACCACCAGTGGTACGCGTACCATAGGTTAAGAAACGCTGCTTTACACTCACGGCACAAGCAAGAGTTAAATAAATATTCGGTATGAAAATGGAATAGAGTGAGAACTATTATTTTATTCCACTAATTATTGATAGTTTGTGGAAATATATCCAATTCCTATTTCTGAAACTCTAAAATTCTGAGAATACTTGTTCCAGGAACAGTTGCAGATATGGAAACTACGATGTTCCACTGTTGAAACTGGAAGGTACAGCTGATGCAAAAACCCTTGCTATGGTATACGAAACAAGATCATTTGTCGCGGTATCTTAAGTTACAAAGGAAATGGATTGGCTCGTGTTTCGCGATACACATTTTTAACACCCTCCGATGATCAGTTGTCAAAAACATGCCATTTTTTTAAGGGCCTTTCAGGCGACTGCTTCGAAACTATTTTCCACTACCATTCATTGCTTTTTTTCTCTCGACGGTGGTCTAGCGGTTAGAACGCTGGCCTTGTAATCCTGGGG